ACACATTCACACATTTGGGGTTCAGTATCTTGCTCAAGGATACACGTGGCAGGAGGAGCCGGGGATCGAACCAACAACCTTCCAATTGGGGGACAACCCGCTCTGCCTCTGAGCCACAGCTATAAAACTATTCCTTTAACAACTCCATCCCCTACAGATCCTTCTTATTATCACTTTTTACCCACATAACTTAGTTTGAGGTTTAGTTTTAGTTTAAAGTCATTGCCTCTCTCTCATTCATACTCCAATTCCCATATCTCTCCTTTCTAGCCTCTCCACATTTCTCCCACTTCAACCTCCCCTCCTCCGCTATTCCTTCATATTCCTCCTTCTGTGATGGGGGAAAATACTGTAGTTCAGCTGAATTTCATAAACAGGGATTGTTGTGTGTTTCATTGATCTCATTGGTATGCTTAATGTTTACAACAGTGTTTATAACTCAGCCGATCATGTGTCTTTCCTTCCTGCCTCAGGGTGCTGTGATCACCCCAGCCACAGCCATCGAGCCCAGTCTGTCTCTGCACCCCTCCAGTGTAATGACTCCCCTCACCCAGCAGATGAACCACCTGTCTCTGGGCACTACAGGCACAGTGAGTGTCAGCTTTTACCTCGTCCACACCATTTTGCTCTGGATGCATCTGTGTTTATCTTTTGAGTTGTAATACCTTTCATATAATTAGTCAGTAGAGATTTTAGCTGTAATTTAAATTATCTCACAGCAAAGTTCATCCTGATGGCGACCCACGTGCCGAGGCTGAGTCCTTGCTGCAGCGGCCCAGGGTTCGAATCCGACCTGCAGCCCTTTGCCTCTCTCTCTGCCCCCCTTTCCTGTCTGTCTTCAGCTGTCACTATAATAAGGGCGAAAAAAAGCCCCTAAAAAAAAATGAAAGAAAAAAAGAAAGAACACACAGAAATATTTCTGTTTGCAACACGTGTTTGCAACATGACGTGTTTCTAGAGGGGGGCCTGGGGTGGCCACCCCATTGCAGACATGTCCATTTTATGCTACTCCCATGCAGTTTTTTTCATGTGGTATAAGTGTGTTTTTTCGCCTGGTGCATTTGAATATTTCTGGATACTGGGGTCCCTAAACAATATAGGAATTGTATACACTGGTAATGACTGGAAAGCTGAGACACATACCCCTGCATAAGTCAGTACCCCACTTGCGTTACTCCAGTTTAAAAAATATGGACACCTCCCTGCCTGGGACCAAACCTAAATATTATGTAATGTATTCTGAAATGTCAAAAAACAACAATGTCTCAGGGAATATTAGATCCCAATATCCCAGAGGACATGCGGTTTGTGCCTACATTATAATACTGCCTGTGCCCCTCTTTCTCTCTGCAGTACATGCCTGCTGCAGCCGCTGCTCCTATGCAAGGAACCTACATTCCCCAGTACACTGCAGTGCCTGCCTCTGCCATCACAGTGGAAGTAAGGACAAAAGGAGTTGTTGTTTATTGACTTTATTCTTGTTACTTCTTATACCAACTTCATACAGCAGCCTATATAGGGCTTTACAGGGCTGACTTGAATATTGATCATTATATACACTTTAAGTCACATATGCTAGTAAATGATGCTGTAGTTTGCTGTATTTGGTAGATATTTTGAGAAGCACTTATTTATTGCCACTGAGGAAACTACAAGCTTAAATAATATCAGAATCACATTGTGGTTCTTTGTGATTCAGGGAGAGACATTGCCACTAATTGTACTCAATTCCCAAAGGCCAGAGGACCTATTATCGAATTCTAAAATGAGCACCAGAAATTAAACAGAGTCTGCCGGAAGAAGGAGAACCCTTTACATTTAATCAATACCAAGGGAATTTTTGTCTGTGCTAAACTTTTTAGAGGTTTTCAGTGAACTTTTTTTAGTGCTTTGCGGAAGGAGAGTCTTTAGTTCACCTAATTTTTTCTGAGGTTGAAAGGTTGAAGGGAAACCTAACAGTATGATAAAGGGTTCAAATTTGAGTTGTTATTGTAACTGTGTTTCTGGTGTCAGGGCGTGGTGACAGACCCCTCTTCACAGACAGCTGCCCCTTCCTCGCAGGACGCCAGCGGCCAGCAGCCTTTATCAGTGGAGAATACAGGAGATCATGCCACAGCCTACTCTTACCAGCAGTCGAAGTGAGTGAGTGAGTGTTGTAAATAGCAACTCTATACAGCTGGTTCAGCTGTATAGAGAGTTATTGCTATATTACTCCTGAGTTGCACTGTCAAGTTATGTTCCATTATTTTAAATGGTTGAAAACAGTAATGGCAAGTTCTGTTGAAATTGAAATTGGATGGCAAGTAGAAAGGAAGATGGATGCAGCACTCTATGTGAAAACCTTACTTAGATATGCCATAAATATTTTTTACAGGTAGGTTTTACAAATACACAAGTTCTTCAGTTTTAGAATATTTTTTTTTATAGTGGTAATTGTTTTTACAGTAGCACTGAAGGGACAAACCAAACACTGGCCTTAGAGAGGGGCGTTTGAATTTTGTGCAGCCACCGTAGTTTCCACTTCACGCTTGAAACGACAGAGTTGCGATTTGCAACTGCACCACTAGATGCCACTAAAATCCTACAATATTGGACTTTAAAGGAGTGAATGGAGGGCTGAAGCAGTGGGAAACAGATTGTCTGAATTGCCCTGATTGTCCACCTTGCATCGCTGAGGAACAGACTGAGCAATATACCCCTCAAACCACAAATTGTCATTTTCACACTTATTCAGATTCAGATTCAGATTCAGAAATACTTTAATAATCCAGAGGGAAATATAATTCGTTTACATATCCAGATACAAATGACATATTATACAACAACATAAATATTAACATTAAACAAAAATATAAATAATACATATGTAACTATATATATATATATATTATAATATAGTATATACAGATCAATATACAGTATAATAAAATGTGCAAAAGAGTGCAAAAGATGAATAATGTAATAGATTTGAGTCAGAATTACAAGAGGGGGGTGTCTGACTCATCTGAGGGAGGCGTGTAGAGATTGATGACCACAGGCAGGAATGATTTCTGGTGGCGCTCTGTGTGCATCTGGGTAGAGGAGTCTTCTGCTCGAAGGAGCTCCTCTGCGGCAGTGTTGTAGAGAGG